ACCATCCCGTCGCAACTGCCCAAACACTCAGCACTTGGGGCCAAATTCCAATCCAGTCGCACCTGTCTCAGAACGATCCGCCTGCCCCTACTTCACGTGCACTTATTCCACTTCCCTTTTGTGTCACCTCGCCGCAAACACGTAGGCATGTTCTGGAGAGTCAACCACTGACGGCTGATTAGACGCAAACACAGCGCAACCTGGGGGGGGCTCGCCTCACAAGATTCTCGACATTCGGCCCCAATCCATAACTTCCATAATCGAACAATGCAGCGCACAAGGCCCAAAAGAATGAAAGTACGACTCAAATCGCCGTTCTACTCGGGAGTCGCGAACTCGGACAAGTCCACAGGAGCTGAAGGCATCGGGCTACCCGACGCGTTTGTGCGTATCTCAGAGGCAACACAAGCCCCTGAATCGAGAGGAGCACGCGGTTTGAGAAAAGGCACAGGTCAACCACCATCACTACCCATTCTACTTGAGCTATCCCACAAGGTTTGACGCAGAGCTAGTCTCGGTCGAACGCCCAACCTTGAAGCCCTCGGAACGGACAAGATGACGTTGGTCACGAAAGAGCCGCCTGCCCCTGCCAAGCTGTGGGGGTGCGGGTGGCGGTGTTCGCTACCTGCAAACCCCACGCGAAGTTCAATTCCAGGCGATCCACCGCCATCCGTTGGCGGAAAGTCAGCGCCTGACCAGCTCCGACCTCCACAATCGGCCATTGCATCAATACATTAACACCTTCCATGCGGTCCCATTTCGATGTCAATGTCACGGGCCATGCTGCCAGCCCTAAACATTACCAGCGACATGCGAGTTCGCGTCCTCAGTCGGACCCTCAGTCGATTGGCCTTCCTAAAATTGCAGTCAGAAACTCTGCTGTCGCGAGGCCGTCAGCGCGCCAGCATTGCTTGCAGCCTGCTTGTTCCTTTTGCCTCTTTTCCCACTACTTCATGAATGGCCGTGAGCTACCAAGACCGAGGTCCCGCTTTGCTGCTCTCTCAGCAGCCGTCACTGGTTGTGCCGTTTCTGCTTAGCTCCTAATTCCCCAATCCATGCACAGCACTCTACACGAGACCTCTGCCGCCCATCCCTCCCCACTGTTACCCAATCAATTGCTCCTCGAGTTGTTCCCGTACCCCACTCAACCACACCGAGAGCCGTCTTCTTTATAACCGTCAAAGGGCAGCAGCGAGCTCAGCTTACGAGCAAGCTCTTGTGGATGCTGATGTTCCATTAAGTCAACCTCGGGGCGCCGGTCCCCTGTGTTTGTCCCTCTAGGCGTGTATGCTTCCTGGAAATCATAACCTCATTTGGCCTCTGCTCGGTAGCCATCCTCCACCCGCTCAATCTAATTAATGTTGCCTGTAGTAGCTCCCAGCGGAGCGTCGCCCAGCGGCGAACTTGTCTCTTGGCTGTGCCAATTGCGCAATATCGCCGTTCTCGTTGGGCATAAGAGGAACCATAGGGAGGCAAGGTACGGGCTTATGCAGATATATTGTCCCTCGGTACAGTCCGCCATGGTATTGCGGACCGCGAGCAAGCCTTGTTACGTGCGACGCGAAGCAATATGATATACCTTTTTTTTTTTTTTCCCGTATCCAGCTTTTGCCAACCCTGCCAATCCTAGCGCACATTCTATCAAAAGGCCGCCGGGCAAGTATAAGAGCTCCAATTCGCACACTCTCATGTGCCTACCTTAGTTATTCTGTAGCTCCAACTTCCTTCAGTTTCCTAAATAATCTTGTTCCTGTGCCTACTGTTCTTCAAGTTCTTTTCAACCAAAACCCGCTATGCGCTTCGGTCTCCTCGCGCTGGCCTTTGTGCCACTCGTTGCCGGCCACGGTGCGGTTACCAGTTATATCATCGGATCTACAGAGTTCGCTGGCTACGAAGGCTTCGCCCCTTCAACCAGTGTTAAGACGATACAGCTTCAGTGGCCAGACTACAACCCGACTCTAGACGTTTCGGACCCCAAGATACGTTGCAATGGTGGCAAGTCAGCCCCGTTGACCGCCCCCGTCAAGGCTGGTGAGAATGTCACGGCTGTGTGGAAGCAATGGACGCATCAGCAAGGCCCTGTCATGGTGTGGATGTTCAAGTGCGACGGCGAGTTCGCCTCGTGCGGCGGTGACGGCAAAGGATGGTTCAAGATTGATGAGATGGGTATGTGGGGGGGCGTCTTGGATTCGAACAACTGGGGCACCGCTATCATCGTCAAGAACCTCAAGTGGAGCAGCACTATCCCAAGCAACATTGCCCCAGGCAATTACATCATCCGCCATGAGCTGCTCGCTCTTCACCAGGCAAATACGCCACAGTTTTATGCCGAGTGTGCTCAGCTCGTCGTCGCTGGTGACGGGACAGCAACTCCCCCCGCAGACTTCCTCTACCCCATTCCGGGGTACGCGCCTCAAAGTGACCCTGGTATTACTGTAAGCAGTCCCATGCCACGGTTAGACTGTAGATGGATTTTGTGACTAACGCTAGGCAGGTTGACATCTACAAGGGCAAGGAGACCAGCTACACTCCCCCAGGAGGCCGTGTTTGGTCTGGATTCACTCTTTAGGAGTGGGGTGGCTCTAGAAATTGCCTCTACGTGGGCCAGGAGCCCCGGTAGATTCACTCCCTTGTATATATTATCGTTGGCAACACCCCCCCGCTTGAGCAGCTGTGGCTCTTGCGGGCGCTGGCGTGTGGGTTTCACAGAGCAGGCAAAAGGCTGCGAATATATCACTTCGTTATTTATGATACTTCTATCAAGGAGGAGGAAGGGCTAGTTGAGCCCTGATGACAATTGAAAACTTGGATAGTGAGGTGTGGGTCAGATATTCTCACGGTGCACCGTCACAGAAATCATCCGCAGCATATATACCACTTTCCAATGCCTCTTGCCAACAGCCCCCCGCCCGACTACCTAGGCCATGGTCAAGCGGCAGTGGCTTGCGAGGAAAACAGGTTGCTCTCCCGACGGGGAGGTCTCCTGTTCGACTCGTGGTAAAACCACCTTCAGGCTTGCGATCGGACGCGAAAGCGAGTTGGAAGGTTGTTTTCGTAACCAGAGACCGACGGGACCCTCTGGTGAGCTTTTTGCCAAATTTACTTTTGGGGTTTCGCCCTTTGCGTCGTCACCTCTCTCTCGATACTGCGTGACACGATGATGCTATTCAAGGCATGAAAGCGAATGGAGACTTCCGCTCCACAGGTGACTGGAATGAATTGAACACGAACACAATTGGAAAAACACACACATTAGCTATTCCATCCGGCTTTCATTCATGAATTTAACCACGCTCATTCTAGCACCAACGTCGCAACCCAAACATCCATACTCCTCACCCCTCTCACTCCACCCACGGCCTCGGCAGCCGCAACCGTCGCGTCCCTCGCGGACCGCAACACCGCCCTCACCCTCTCACTCTCGACCCGCTCCACCTCGTCGAGAAACCCCTCGTCAACCACGCTACCAACCTCCCACCGCCCATCGTCCAGCTCCCGCTCCGGCACCACAAACCCCTCGCTCTCGACGCGCCACCCACAGCCCCGCACGACCTCCTTGATCCCCGCCGGCGTCACCACATTCCGAATGTTCTCCTTGCTCTCCGCCTTGTGCGCCTCCAGCGTCGCGCGCGCCAGCGCCGCAAGCACATGTGCCGCCGCCGCGGGCTCGGAGGCACGCAACGCCCACTCGGCGATGCACACGCGAGGGACGCGGCCGCGCAGGGCGGTGAGGATCGCGGGGAGGGTGGATGGCGAGGGGAAGTACCAGGTGCAGTGGGCGAGGATGGCCGTGTCCCACCTGGCGGCTGGGTCAGCGGTGAGGAAGGCGACGGGGTCGGCGCGGTGGAAGGTTATCAGGGGCCCCAGGGGCCCCGAGGAGAGGTGCGACTGGGCTTGGGCGAGGGTGAAGGGGGCGCCGTAGGTGGGCGAGGCCGGGTCCAGGGCGGCGATGTGGCCGGACGGGGCGGCGGCGGATGATACGGCGGCTGCGAGGGCTGCTGTGCACGTCCCTTGGCCGCAGCCGAGTTCGAGGATTTGGTGGCCCGGTGAGGGGCCAGAGGGGCCCCAGGCGTTGATGAGGTTGATTCGGTGGACGGCTTGGCTGACTTCGATGGCGAGATGTTTCGGGGATGGCGTGGAGGGTTGGATGGCGAACGAGGCAATTTCGGGGGCATCTGAGACTGAGAGAGGCATGGCGACGGTGTTGATAGAGGGTAAAGAGGTACGATACAATAAGCGTTACTATGTTTTATGAGCAAGAATATTTCTGGTAATATGAAAGTCTCTAGCCGCTTGTTGAACGTGGTGGTCTCTCTCAAAGGCAGCCGAGTTCATCACGGGATAACAGGGGAAATTTATACTGGAGCTCAAACATGTCAAATCCTGGGGATGTTTCGCGACTAATCAAAACGTTGATCGATATTCAGCAAAGCGTGAGTTTCTCCAGTTTGGAAACTTCACCCGCGCCCCCTGTTGCCTTTCGCAAGATGAGTCGGATTTTAATGAGTCACTTCAATCAGCCCCCTATCCACAACTTGAAGTGATGTGTCAGCGTCAATTTCATGGGGTAACTCTGCTCGGTTAGGTTCCTTGAACGAGAAACGGGACAGTGTTAAATAAAGGATGCAGGGCCCCTAAGAGTCACCGACCCAATCAGGCAGGTCATACTAGAGAGGTGACATATTGAATGGGTAGATGAAATTTTTACCCAAGGCAGTTAACTTATTACATGTAAGCGCGCTAATGCATCTGCAAGACATGTAACCCCCAGCGCTTACAGGTTAAAACCCGATAGATCCTCCAGTGGGTAATAAAGAAACAAAGGCATTTCACCATCATTCCCTTGGGGCTCGTAGAGTTCGTATACCACCTAACAAACCCTCGGGCCTTGACCCAATCAATTGCGGTGAAATCCTGTCGAGGGTGGATCAGATCATCATAGACCAAAGGCTAGCTCCTCCTCACGCAACAACACCAGTGGATCCTCACGATCCACCGAAGCCCGCTTAGCTCAGTGGTAGAGCGCATCACTAGTATCTCAACACAAGATCCCGACATGATGAGGTCCTCAGTTCGACTCTGGGAGTGGGCTTGAGTATGCGAAGCATTCGCATAGTTTCTTTTTGCTGTTTCCCCTTTTTCAACAACTGTTCAAGTTATTTAAGTTCCCATGCGCATGTTTGCCCACGTATGCTGCAGGCAATGCCGAGGAAGTGCGTGGCTGACGTTGAGTTAAGTTGTGTAAGTTGTGATTGAGGGCACCGTCCACGCTCCCTCTTCGCTATCGAGGTTGGTAGGGCCAACCAATCTACACACCTAGAGTCTGATTTTAAATTGTTGTGAGCTCCTGGTGGCCACATGGCCCGCGTAGTCATGCTGAAATGCATATTGACTGAATCAAAGTTTTTTCCCGAGCTCTTTTCTTCTTTATCTCCAGCACGTTCTCAAACGAGACCAATTCCTCTCCCTGCCACACCTTTCGACAGAAGCTCACCACCGAATAATCCCCTAGCTCTCTCCCTCAGCATCATTCTGATATGGCATCAGAAAATTCACACGACGCTCCCTGGGATCCATGGGCCTCGGTCACCAACCTCAACTATCAAGCTCCGGCAGACAACGACGCAGATATCATGGACGACGGCTTCGGTCCGGTTCTTTCAACAAGAACTCAGCCCCGTAGCGCGAGTCCGCAGCTGTCGGAAAACGAAGAGCGCCCAGCAGGGTATCAGCCCCTTGGGGAGGACGATAACCAGGAGAAGGCTTTGCTGAATGGCATGGGACTGGTAGAGAAGGTGCGCCAGCAGATAACAGCCACCGACGGCAGAGTTGATGAGCGCCTTGTCGCGCAGGTTCGGGCCACGCGCGGCTGGCTGAGCCAGCAATGTGGAGACTTCGAGGCTACTAGTAGATACGAACAACTGGAATACTTGGAAGTCTTCGGCATACTTTTAGATCGCATCAGCACCCTCCGCAAAGCCCGGCGGTTCCTCGACCATCGCCGGACACAGCAGGGCCACAAGATCTGCGCTCTCCAAAAAGGGCTCAAATCGCTCCGCGAGAAACTCCAGCTTCAGAGGCAGCAAACTGTCGAGCTTCAGACGGAGAACTCGGAACTTGTACGCGGGGGGGGCCAAGATCGTTGCCGCGCTACGGAACTTTGCCAAAGCCTCCAAGAGCTCGAAGAAGATTATATAGGCCTTGAGGAGGCGCGCGGAGAACTCGAGCGCAAAAATTGGGAACTTCGTCAGGATCTGAAAGGTCTCCAACAGGTGAATGCAGGACTGACGAGCCGAAACTCGGCACTTGAGGACCAGAGCAGGAAGTACGAATGCAACGCCACGGTGTTCAGACGAGATTGCGATAAACTCGAGAAGGAGAATGCACGACTTGGTCAGAAGAACGCGGACCTTGAATACCAAGTGTCAGTGCTCGAGGAAGTCATCAGTTATACTCCGCCGAGGCGAATTGATTCAACCAGGCCTTAAGACATGGCGGCTGGGGCTGCACAGCGCGAAATAACAGGGACTGCGCATTACCGAGCGTACAACAACCCTAATGAGTCTTCAGGTTAGGGAAACGAAGCTTGGTAAAAGGGCGGGCGGGTATCCCTTGAGATGATGACTCGGCTCAGGGGTAGGGGATTAATCGAATGCATGTGTGGGCATGTCAACTTACGCGCACGCATTGATCTTGAGCTTGATATTCCAATTTCTGACCAAGGTAGACCTTGTCAGCAAATAGTAGTATCCCCACCTACCTTTCATTATGGTCGTCAAGGCTGTGAATATCCAGGTAAGCTATGCCATGTTTTTTCTCCCTGCAATATCAACAATATTCGTGGAAGCTCTCAGACTACGGTATATGACACCCTCGATGTGCCCTTGCTCCTCGAGATCTTCTTGACCTTGGTCTCACCACACAGGTCCGTCGTCTCGACATGTGTACCCCCACAGGGATAAACCTCGGCCCCGACAATCTTGACAACACGGAACTTCTCGCCCGGCGGCGCCAGACTTCTGTCGGGAATCAGCCTCTCTAGCCCGTTGGCACGGAAGTCGTCTTCATCCCAAAAGTCAATCTCGACAGGCATGGCGCGCGCAATGTACTCGTCGAGTCTGCGCTGGATGGGCGCTTTCCACCTGCCCTCGATGGAGCCCGAAAACTCACAGGCGGCTGACTCGGGCGCATGCGAGGCCTTCAGCTCGTCGAAGCCGGCGACCTCGGCCTCGAGCAGGTGCCGCACCGCGGCGCCGAGCACATGGCCGGCTGTGTGCAGCCGCGAGTACAGGAGGCGCTTGTCAGTGTCAATGGCCTGCTCAACCACGCCACCGACGGCGAAGCTGGGCGGGTCGGCGCCGGCTTCAAAGTGGCCAAAGTGCAGCACCTGGCCGTCGTGCACGGCGTCGATGCGCGCGGCGATCACGCGGAAGACGGTTTGCCCGTGGGAGATGGTTCCTTCGTCCGACGGTTGCCCGCCCCCCTGCGGGTGGAAGATGGTCTTGTCGGTGACAACGGCGAAGTCTTGGTCAGTGCCCTGCTTGAACAGGGCGCGGTTGGCGTCTTCGAGTGTGGAAAAGGGGCGGATTGACGAGACGATAACGTTGAGGTTGTGGAGCTTGGCATCGTGGTGGAACGCCAGGTGCGTTCGCGGCGTGGTGCTTCCCTGTACCAAGTGGTCAATTGGGGCATCTCTTGTGGATCTGAAGCAGACGTACCATTTTAGTTTTGGTGATATGTATCAAGAAAATCCGGGGTGGCTATAGGTGGCATCAACGGGCAGCTTTATTTTCGTTTCGAACTTTTTCTTGGGGGGGCTGATGAATGAACGACTGAAACGTGCCTACCCAAATACCCAAACGGGCGGGACGGCAGGATTGAGTCATTTGTGGGGCATCTATGCCTGAACTGACCACTGGTTCCGTTGTATTCCGCTGTATTCCATTCCATTGCCACCTTTGTACTCAATGACGGTGAAGTATCAATTCAACAAGTTTATCTTGCATTTTCAGCTCAATTATTTAGGTACGTATGCATTCAAGGCAATTTCCGACTCCAATGCCCCCCCCAACCTCACCAAACTCTTTTGCTGTGGGGCATGGATGGGAGCTCGGTCCCTGCCCTGAAGTCGCCTGCTCCAGACATCAGTGTGGCATATTAAAGGCCGTTCTGCCTGATGACAAACTAACCCAGACAGTCATGGACATCGTAGAGGACAGCAAATCATGACCTTGGAATCTGGGTATGCACCCCTGCCGCTCATCGAAAAAGGATCGACATATCGCTTTCTAGAATCTAACCGGAGTCCAGTGGTTTCGGTCCAGGCCTAGATGGTTTCTTCTCCCAGTCAAACTAATTAACGGTTGGTGTTTCGACTTTGGGCTTTGGTGTTGGAATACACCTTTACGTTATTCAAAACATGATTCACGATATGGCTAAAATATGCCATCACGCTTCTCCGGGGACCTCGTCTGAGGTATAACCAATCATCTGCCTTCTTCTCTAGTAGTTTAAGTTTAAACCTCACATAAATACGGCATGGCATCGCCAACTACAACATCGACATTACCACCCCCAAGAAACCAGCAGCCCCATCAGACGAGCAAAGCGCCACTATCCGTCCCCGCGACCGTGCCGGTAGCATTCCCATCCTTCATCAACCACAGATACGCCTCGGCCACATCCTCGACGGCGCCAAACTTTCCCGTCGGCATCTTAGCCTCTACCTCCTTCACCATGTCCGCCTTCTCCTCGACGCTCATGTGCCCCCACAGCCCGGTGTCCACATAGCCCGGTCTGACCACATTGACCCTCACGGGCGCGAGATCCAGGGCCAGGGCCCGAGCGAGCGACACAAGGCCGCCGGCAAAGTAGCTGATGACACTCCACCCCTTGGTCGGCCGCTCCGAGACAGACCCGCTGGTGATGGTCAGGCTTGACGTGTTGGCCGCGGGGAGGTAACGCGCAGCGACCTTAGCCACGAGCACCGGTACGACCATACGCATATGTGCCGCAGCGTGGATCCCGTCGGCGGTGACGCTGTCTAGGCCGCCGAGCGAGAGGGGGTCGGCGGCGGTGAAGACGACGTGGTTGATGGGGCCGATGCCGGTCTGCGCGGCTTCGAAGAGGGTGACTAGGTCGGCTTCGGCTGAAGGCTTGGAGAGGTCGGTGGTGAGCCCGCGGACGGTGCGGTCTGGGTACAACGCCGAGAGGCTCGATACAGCGGCGGTGACTTTGGCTGGGGACGACGAGGAGATGGTTGCGTTTGCTCCCGAGGCGAGCGCGGCTTCGGCGACGGCGAGGCCGATGCCCGAGGAGCCGCCAATGATGAGGACGTGCTTGTCTTGAAGTTTGCGGTAGGTGCTGGGAGACATTTTGGAAGAGCTCTTTTTGGAAAAGTTAGGTGTTGATCAGTGCCGTCGTGCCGAAGGCTTGTGTAAATGAGGAAGTCGGGTGTGGATGTCGTGGGGTTGATGCTGCTTCCAATTTCCTTTTCATCTCAACCTGTGAAAGGCATCATTTATATCAAGCCTTCGCTCGGTCTCCTACAGCAACATCGCGGTATAATTACAATGTCTAGTGGTCTTGTTCGTAATGCCATAAACACCGGCATTAAGTCCGGGACCCAAACGAATGGAACCAAACGCCATTTTGTGGTTACCAATACGGTAGAGCAGCCGAAGTTTAGCGGCACGACAAAACGAACTCTCTCAAACTTTACCTATTTGGCCAAATCGGGAAGGGTTGAGTCGCAGGGAATTGCTGTAGTGATGTTGTGTGACCGGAGCGACAATGCCGAACCCCGGCCCCTCTATAACCTCGCTCGTTCGACCGCAGGAGGTAGAGAGAAATGTGAACGGGTCGAAGCTCGCGTTTCGGAGTCCGGCCCGGCGATTGGAGCCTGGGTGGTTAGGTCCGAATAATGAGATGTGTTGTATGACAAACATGACACACAAACAAGGCTGATTGATCGCACGTGAGATTTCGAGACAATACAAGAAAGTGACACTATCGGCAAAGAGAGCGTTGAGGATTATTCGAGACATGGCCGTGCCCAGGGTTAGGGCTCTAGTGCAGATCTCCAGCATGCAA